GCTGGGTTACTGGCAGGGCTGGTCTGCCCTCAAGCTGCAAACAGGTAATACATCTTACTACCTGAAAAAAGGAGATTGCCAAGTAACTATGGTTATATTTTCCCACTGTGCTCTTTTATGGAAGGGTTTGTTCAAAAGCAGAGATTTCTTTTTCTTTTCCGGGACTCTTATTGCAGAAATACCAGATATGTCACATCTAGTCTTTCTTACTGTTTCATGACATCTCTAGGATTTCCCTGAGTGTTGGGCATTGAAATTCTACCCTGAAATTCAAACGGGTTAACAGAATAAACAGAGCCCAGAGCTGTAGATTGCCTGACTGCAGATTACTGCCTTTTCTATCTCTAAAAGTTAATTGCATTGGAAATGTCATCTTCCTTTGAGCATCAAAGTCTGTAGCGTCCACAGGATTTATTTTGCAATACAGACAAATTTTAGAGTTTCTTCTTGGTGTTAGGAAAGGTTTTGTGGCTCTGGTCCCACCGGGCAGCTTGGCTGCGCTCAGCGGATGGCAGCGCTGGTGCCCTCGCCCCTGCTCTCATCCTCCTGAGCATCACCCCGAGCGACCAGATGACTTTGCATCGGCAGGGCTTAGCTGAGATGGGTTGAGGTAGTAAAATGTGGACTTGCTCCCGTATCAGGTTGGACCAGAGCTGGCTGAGCCACGTTAGCCCAGCGCCTTGTCTGCGATCTGTCCTCTCCATGAAACCCAGACATCTCTCTGTGTTCTGCTCTTAGCTAGGGGAGCTGGGGAGACCTTTAAGCCACATGCTGCTCCCGCGGGTCAATTTGTGAAGCTGTCCCCGGAGTTGTGTGTGTGCTTATGCCTGTTTGTCGACAGGGGGGCCAGCCCTTGTTCTGGGAGTTTAAACAAGATAACTGGTAAGGAAAAGAGAGCCTGCCATCCCTCCGGATAGCGGCGTCTCAGAGAGCACTGGCAAAGTATGATTTGTCGTCTGTGAAAAATGTTTGTGTTTGACAGCTTTTCACAGGAAGCCTGTCAGAGTGATAATTTAATGAGTACAGATTGCTTGCAACACAGCTGTAAAACGTGCTTTTACAGTGCTGTAAAATAAGCAACTGAGGCCTTTGTGTGTTTGCTTTGTTTGAGAACAAGTCAACTTCTAATACAAATGAAAGGTGGTCATTTATTTTACCCAGCAAACAGTCAAGACGTAAGAGAGGAACCTGCCATTTTTCTTCTTGTGGTGGCAAGGTTAATGCTGGGTTATGTTGGTGCTTGCTAATCAGCTTGTTTCTGTGAAGGGGAGAATTAATATCTAATTAGATGTAGGGAGTTACTAGTCAGTTTAGCATTTAAGTCATAAAAAGGGCTTTTGGGCTTTCTTCTCTTCGTTGCAGACGTCTGTGCCCATGGTTTGCACAAAGAAAAGCTTAATGTTCCTTGCTGCGCCCAAGCTGATTTCTTGAAAGGGAGACAGAAACTGAGGATGCAGACTTGTAGTATGCCAACAGCTAGAGTAAAGCATTATATATATATATACACACACACATATATATATGTAATATATATGTGTGTATATATATAAAATTTAATCCCTGCTGCTGACCAAGTTAAGAGTGTGTCGTGGTTTAACCTCAGCCGGCAACTGAGCACCACACAGCCACTCACTTGCT